TAACACCTGGGTGTAGTCTCGCTGGCTGGAATGAAGACTTTCAATTGGGTATAAAATGTGTCGACTTTTCATCTCTAGTCGGCTACTCATTCCTATCAGTACATTGGCATCGAGGAATGTACCTGGAATATAGCCAACACTCATAACATAAACATTAAATTAAGAGTGATCTTGCCTGGAGCCTAGAAAGACAACTGTCAGCAAAGGGTTTGCCGTACAAATATGGAGACCTGAGTTTGAGGCCTAGGACACACATTAAAAAAAAAAAGTGCTATTTGTGGTTGTGTGTGTGCAATCTCACTTCTGCAGAGACAGGAGGATTCCTGGGATTTGCTGGGGAGCCAGCCTACTTGACAAGTTCCAGGCCAGTGAAAACCTCAGAATCAAGACAAAAAGAAAAGGTGTGTGTGTGTGTGTGTGCCTGAGGGAAGACACCTATGGCTGTCCTCTGCGCTACATGGACAGGACTGAACACACACTCACTCACACACACACACACACACACACACACACACACACAATTGTGTGTGAGTTATCTAGTTTTCAGCTTTTTAAACTCACTCTTGGTGATAATGTATGAAACAAAAATAGCATCTTGCTGTTGTTTGGGGCAGTCGAGCTTCTCAGGTGCGTTTGCATCCGAGTTACGGAAAAGCAAATACTCAAAATGTGTAGAGTAGCAACAGTCTGTTTTGGATTCTAAGTAAGTGAAAATTTGGGGATTGCTTCTAAACCTACTGGAAGTAGAAATCTACATACCAAAAGAAATCTACATATAAATGAAAAACCACATTAAGACCCTGATCAAAGGACTAAGGGGGTTCCAGGAAGGGATGCTAGTGGCTTGCAATTTTCGCTTCTCCCCCACATGCTTTCTGATCTGTCAGCAGCAATGTCTGTAACTTCTGGGACTCAGGATTTTTTTTTTTTTCTAGAGGAAGAAGACACCGTCCCCGCCCCACCCCCGACTTTCTTTTTCATGTCTTATTGTTTTAGTCAGTTGCTTTGAAATTTTCAAGCTGGGCCATGTTACTTATAATGAGGTAAGGAAGGTGCACTGGTTCCTGAGAAACTTTTCATAATTGTTAAAACCAATTCAGGGGAGTCGAGCCCTCTTCTGGGGCTTCCCTATAGCCATTGCTGTTGGTAAATATTCATAAATCTGCTGTCATGGAAATTAAATGGAATGGCTCAAAATTACTTTAGGGGCATAACGGGGGCTCAAAACAGTGAAGTGGGAAGACACACTTCATTTGCAGAGTTGGAATAAAGAAAGCGTTCATTTGTCTGTAGACAGCAGGTTCTGCCCTGGAGAAGGATCCTGAAGAACTTAATAGGTAGTGCTCAAAGCGATACTCACATGGTGGGGACAGCAGGCTCTGCCCGTGCCAGAGTGGACACCCTCTCCCATAAGGCTGGTGGCAACTTCTTAGGAGTCTTAACAGTAAGAAAGACTCATGTCACTGACTGCATTTTGGGGTTCTCCCTCTGTCTCTGTCTCTCTCTCTGTGTCTCTCTGTGTCTCTCTGTGTCTCTCTCTGTCTCTCTCTCTCTCTCTTTTTCGAGAAAGGGTTTTTCCGTGTAGTTTTGGAGCCTGTCCTGAAACTAGCTCTTTTAGACCAGGCTGGCCTCAAACTCACAGAGATCCACCTGCCTCTACCTCCCTAGTACTGGAATTAAAGGTGTGCTCTACCACTGCCCAGCTGGGTTCACTCTCTTGAGAGTCTTCTGTTACTTCCTGCTAATCCAAGGGCTTTTGTTAGGTCAATACATATTTGCTGAGTGAATCCAGAGCAGAGAGGTGGCAGGTGTTAAACACACACATATGCATGCACACACCCATGAGGACCCAGTTTATCTGCAAAGCCTTGATAAGCTGAAGGACTGTTGATGGGGCCATTCCATTAATGGGCAGTTAACTAGTTAACTAACATTAGCACTGGACAGTTCCCTCTCCCCTCTTTCACTATCGCCCACCCTGTAGGTAGATCCAGGCTCTTGGGTGCGAAGAGGAGGAGGAGGAGGAGGAGGATGCAGTGGTTCTGATGAATTGATGATGAAGGTGCTGTGTTTCGTCTGAGGCTCTTCCCAGAGACAGACTTTTGTTCTCAGGACTCACTTAAAGGACAACCATCATCTAGGAAATCAAATGTATCAGCAGTCTTTGTAGTTATGGAACGCCAAGGTCAGGAGTGTTGGGGGGGGGGAGATGCCTGTGAGGGCACTCCTGTCACTGATCTTGAAAAGCTGACTCTTAGGGTTATTAGCTGCCTCAATTTACAACGCTATATACTCTTGAACACCAAATGCTCATTATCAAAAATTAAAGAAGCATAGAGAGCTGGGATGTGAATTATATTTTAGATAATAGATTTTAGGACATGCTTACCATTGTTAAGATTAACTTGACCTTATAACTCACACAGGTTTCCACTGGGCACAGAATCCAGGGAAGACTATTTGGTCTCCACGAGTGTAAAGGAACGAAGAAACCCCCTTGTTTCTATTTCCCCTGTGGTGCTGAAGTAGCCCCTAAAACTGGGCAGGGGGAGCTGGCTGTGGAGTTCATAGTCTCCACTCTTCACCTTCCTACCTCCTTAGGTTTTAACTGCACGATGCTTCTTCTGACTCTTTCCTCAGAAAGGGAACAAGGAACATTAGCATCTAAGGATTGATAATAGTTCATTGGGTGTTAGGAGCTGGATTAGATTCCCTAAAATTCACAAGTTAAAATCTTAGTCTTAGGAGTAAGATTTGGAATATGGCTGTGTAGAGATATGGTCTGTGATTTGGTGATAAACATTAAATAAGGTCACCAGGGTGGACCCTCATTCCTTTGCCTGTGCTTTAGTAAGAGGAGTCTTGGAGACAGACACAGAATGAAGACCAGGAGAGGAGAAAGACATGGAGAAGAAAGCATACTGGCCAACACCTTGCCCTTCTAGCTTCTAGAACCAGCAGCAAATGAATAGCATGGAACCTGCAATATTTGGGCTTTGACCTGCATGAATGATGAGTGTGTGACAGGATGGCTTTGTGAAGCTGGTTGACTCCTTCCATTCTGACACTGGTTCAGGCATTGAACCTGGTCCACCAAATTAATGAGGTGTGCGGCTTTGCCCGCTGCGCCATATCAGCAGAGAAGATATCTGCTTGTCAATAAACTTTATAACTAAGTCCCAGAGTGTGGAATGAGAGCTCATTGACATGCAAGTTAAATTGTTCATTTTCTCCGGTTTTGACTAGCTCTTGGCCCCTTTTGGAAAAGGTTTTTCTTTTTCCTTGAAGAATTCCCTCATTACAACTGCTTTTGAGCCCAGCCTTTTGAGAAATCTCCAAGATAGATGTCCTCACTGTCTAGATGTGGGTATTTTTGTATCAGCCTCATTTCTTCTTGAGCTTCTCACTCCATGGGGCTGATTTGGGCATGAAGTTCCCACTGACTTCAAAGGACTCTCAGGTAAAAGAAGAAATAGGCTCACAAAAATTTTCCAATGATGTTTTTGATTTATGAAAAGAGCGTTGATAATATACATTTGAAAAAGAGTATGGATATTAGTCCTGAAGGGGTATCATTGGCAACAGCCAAACGAAGCTGAGCCATTCTCTTCTGGCAGGAGCTAAAAATGCCTTTGAATTAACCATAGTTGGTACATTGAATCATTATACTGCAGGGAAGATTTTAAGTACTTTTATGGTTTCAAAGATGTAAAGGATAAAGTTAAGCCAAATCTTCTTTTTTTAAGGCAAATACACATTACACCATCATTATAACATGAATGCAAACACTCTACACTATTTTGATAAACATACAATGCATACAATTTTAGGAAGATATTTTATGAGTTTCTCTAGACTTTACAAATACCTAAGGACAGTTACTTTACATTTAGGTGGACCCAGACATTGACTAGATATGTCCGATATTCTTTCACAGATTGGGAATATCACATTTTTACAATCATACTCTTTAAGGCATTTTATTTATTTTTATATATTTATTTTATATATTATTTCTCATTCTCTCTCTCTCTCTCTCTCTCTCTCTCTCTGTGTGTGTGTGTGTGTGTGTGTGTGTGTATGCATGTGGAGGCTCAAAGTTATGGGGAATAATCTGACCAACATCACCCTTCCACTTATTCATTGAGGTAGGGACCTTCAATCAAACCTAGAGAACACTGATGTGGCTCATCCTGCCAAGTAACTTGCTCTGGGGATCTAGTACCCATTTTGGCTGAAATTTTAGTTGGAGCATCAAGATTACCCCACATTTGTGGGGATTCTGAGGATCTGAATTATGGTCCTCACGTTTGCCCATCAATTTTACTTTTACACAAGACATCTCTCCAGTCTTGCAATCCTAATTTTATTCATATACCTTCAGAGAAAAAGAACTTACTGCAAGCATGCAAGGGTATGTGGAGACAGGACCAGAAGACAATGACAACAAGGCTCCAGGGACCGACTCTTGGTTGCCTTTTCTTTATTGACTTACAAACTTCTCTGGTTTTTTTTCATACTTTCCTCAATCCTTCACGGCCCCTCTGTCCCCAAGTAGGCATTGTACCTAGCATGTGCAGATAAATATTAATACTCCTTGACTGACAGTAGGGTTACATACAGAAAAATCCGTTATAACTTGAAAATATTGGAAACAGAATATCCATTTAGGATTAATTGACTCTATTATGACTTTAATTATACAAGTTTATGGACTAGGGTGATAATGAAAAACATGTATGCAATTTTTAATGATCAAATCAGGGTAGTTAATAATCCCATCTTCATAAGCACTTCTTAAAATATTTCTCAATAACAGAAAGTAACTAAAACATTGTGTGTGTGTGTGTATGTGCATGTGTGTGTGTGCACATATGTGTGTGTGTGTGTGTGTGTGTGTGTGTGTGTGTGTATGCAGGCATGAAGGCTGTGGGGTATTTACAGGGTTAGAGAACAACATTTAGAAGGGGCTATTTCCTTTATTGAGACAGGGTTTCTCTGGTTGTTTCTGCCATGGGACCTTTTCCAGGATGGCTGGCTTGGAAGCCTCTTGCCCACCCTCCCATCTCCAGTGCTGGGATTGTGGATTTGTGTGACCACATCAGACTTTTTCAGGTGAGCCCTGGGCTCGAGCTCAGTTTGCCAGGCTTGTCCACCAAGTGCTTTTACTGACTGAACTTTCTCTACAGCCATATGTATATATGATAATTATAAACATTTAGAAGGGATAATATGATGTTTCACTATAGCATACAGGTTGTGCCAGCTAAATGAGGGTAATTGGTGTTTCTGTCTTTTTAAAATCATTCTTTAGTTTGATAATTCGAAGAGTTTCAAAGCCCCTTGATTCTAGTTATTTATAGAATGTGTAACAGGCTCCCAGGAACTGTACTCACCCCACTGCAATGTAGAACGCGAGACCCTACCGCGTTCATCACTAGCTACCACAAGAAAAAAGAGCACTGCCGTGAGATTGCATCTCATCCCAGTTAGAACGTTTGGTATTAAAAATACACCAAAGAGGACTGTTGAGATGGCTTCCGGGCCAAGGTACTTGCTGTCAAGCCTGACAACCCGAATATGATTACCAGTCACCCTGGTAGAAGGGGAAAACAAACTCCTGCAAATTGTCCTTTGACTTCCACATGTGCCATGGTACATACTTGCACCCCCCACTCCAATAGAAACAAAATTTTAGCAATATAAAAAAATGCTATCTAAGAGATGGAGAAAAGGCAGCCACTGTTACATATGCTGTGGATTATAACTCAGGACAGCCATTATGGCGCCATAATGTACACGTTCCCCTAAAACTAAAAATATACTGTATACTGATGCAGTGATCGCACACCTGGGTATGGACTCAGAAGAGACCATAGCAGCCCGTGAAAGGCTGCACCCACTACTCCAAGCACTTAACATATAGAATCACCCTTGACGCTCAGCAGTGGGTGAGCGCATAAAGAAAATGCAATATGTACACCAAAACATTCTTCAGCCTAAAGACTATGATATCTTACCAAGTCAGCAAGTGGATAGAGCAAGAGAGTGCTGTGTTAAGAGAAATCAGACAGAAAATAATAAATATCCCATGTTCTCTTTCATATGTGGGAACTCAAGAAAACAGTCTGAATATGCAATAGTGATCATTAGAGTCTGGAGATGGGGGTGGGCAAGGGAAATAGAAGGAACTAGGTAGCAGGATAAGACTGCATTTTATACACCTAACCCACGGATACGCTGGACTTAGAATAGCAAGCACCACCATGGAAATCACACAGGGAGTACAAAACTTTCCCAGTCAGCAGGTTAATGAAACGAGAACTCAAAAGGGTGGGATTCTCTGGCTGGGAGGTGGACAAGTATTTCCTTCAGTCAGAGAACTATCATACTGTCCTCTCAAACTCTGATGTTCTTTCGTGGTGCATTTGTTCACACCACCAAATGAAGAGAAAGAAATTAGGAGATTGTGTGAGACACTGGCCATCGATGCCTTTTACTTTCTTGAACCTGCAACTAGAGGTCCATTGATAAAGTCAGCATGTGGCCCTGGGCTCCCAGAGTCACACAGAGGTGTCTGACAGTCTCAGTATGGGCAGAGACAGTATTTCATTGTGAAGACAGTAGCTGCTAGAGGGAAGAATGAATGACCTCTTCCCAGAGTGTGACAGAGAGTGATCTTCACGCCCTCTGCTCATCTACTCACTACCTCTGCTTCTTATCAGGTACAATGCATTCCTGCTGGCAGCCTGATTTAATTGGGCTTGTGGTAACTGACTCAATTGAGCACTTTAATTAGGTAATTATTTTGTTATGAGAACCACTTTCTAGCGTACGAGAGAGGGAGCGTTCCATTTGTTTTTTTCCTCAAGCTAAAAGTGGAGCCTGCATTCTTTCCTTCATGATAAAGTGGAGTAAAACGGAACAGCTAAAGAATTAGGCTGAGATCAAGCTATGGAGCCAAGAGGAACAACTTTGCCTTCTGTATTGACGGGACAATGTGCTTTGGGAAATGAAGATAGCATTAGTGCTTCTCGGATGGCACTGCCCCAGGACACACCAGGCTGTTGAGGACAGTGCTCACTCCTCTGCCTCAGTTCCCTTCTAGAAGCTTGGGTTGCTTCCTCCGACCCCATGTAGCACAATAATCATTGGAAATAGAAAACAAGACAAAAAAGCATTCCTCTGTCCCTTCATTCTGAATAAACATCCCAGAATCCAGGGATTGTTTTTATCTTTGTCTCCAAACAAATTTAGTTAATTAGCACTGTCTTTGAAAATTTACTGCGAAAGTTAGTCATTTATTAATTTCATTTACAGATTGTCTTGAAGAAAGGCGGAGGCTCTGAAAATACTGCCCTCGATGGACCTTAGATAAAAGCGATTCTCAGCTTCTCTCACACTTGAGACATTCCCCCCTTATTATCTTTTGTTGGCCCCAGCAGGAGTGGTCATAAATAATCTAATGATACCTCCGAATCAAACAAACAAATAATTAGAGTTGACACTAGAAGAGCCAACGAGACCCTAATTAATTGATTTGCTAATAGCTACTTGCCATTTACAGACATTAGCCCAAATTGGGTTTTAAGCTGTGACAGGGGCCACAAGATAAACACTTTCTTTCTCTAAACACCTGATTACCCGCTAGTCTTCCAGTTGCGCCATTGACTGGACTGTGGAGGTGTTCCTTAGTGGGTTGATGCTCATTCTCAAAGGATGCCATGTAAAACATACTATTCATTCATAAGCTGTTTTGAAATAGCCAATCAACATAGTAATTATGTTTTGTTTGCTTATAACTGATTTTTAGCTTTACCTTTCAGCAAGGAAGACAGAACAGAAGGAAGCATTTCTCAATTAAATCCTCATTTAAATAAAGAGAGATTACAAGTAGGACCTTCCCAAGAAGGTAAGAATAATAAGTCTGTTCCAGGGGCCGTGAAGGGTCATGTTCTCATCATCACTGGGCAATAAGCCATCCCTCAACTTAATGGTGCTGAGCAACATGGATTCTGTTGTCTTAACAACTTTGTGGGCTCACTGATCTCAGCCAGGGTATTTCTTCCATTCTACTTGATGCTGTCTGGGCTACAGTTATCTGGAAGTCTTACAAGACTGGACAGTTCTGACCAGGAATTTGCAAGAGGTTGTAGGCGCCCTATCTCCAGGTTCCTGTGTAGGCATCTGAAATCATCGTGGCGGAGGAAGTGATCCTGGGAAGATGAGCTCAGATGTACATCTCCCAGGATCCAGCAAGGGAATCCCCACAGGACCACATCTGCCTCCCTCAAGTGCTCAGCACACCCTTGAAGTGCTTGGCAGAATAGAGCAGGATAGCCCGGTCACTAGGCCATCTTTGCAGATTAGATACCACACCATCTAAGCAGAAACAAAGAGGCATTTCATTAAAGTGTTATGGAAAAAATGCCTTCTGGCCTTGTCTCTGTGATCATCTTCACCTGTTTTAAGAATGGAATCAAGCGTGGATATAGGCAAGCACCTCTTTAAAAAGAATAGGTTAGAGGCAAAAATTTTTCCAGGAAGAACCATTGCCTAAATAGGGGCAGCGGGCACTCTAAGAAGTCCCCCCTCCCCGAGATTCTTCTTTGCTCCTGCAATTGTGATGGTTGAGTAAAGGCCATCGAGTCAAGTGTCTCGGGTTTGGATTTCTGTGGCTTCAGTGGCCAGTTGTGTAAATCTGGGTAAGAAATGGGAGGCGGCAGGCCTCAGTGTGCTCTCATTATCATGTGATATTCTGCTTCACAGGTGGTGAGCACGGAGATGATGCAGGCGGAGTGCTCAGCACACATGCAGCGCCTGGCCCACGGCAGCTTCGAGGAACGTGCTGCTACTGTCTCTATGCAGTGAGCCAGTGAAGTAGAGAATGAAGCCCTAGGATGATGAGGGCATCACACCGAAAAAGGGAGCTCTCCCAACTCAGTCCTCTTCAGTTTAGGAGTAAATGTCACTGGATCAAATGATCAAATGGTTCTCTGAATTCTTTTGATGGCCTTGCCTTTTTTTTTTTTCCTTTTTAACGTCCCTGCAGTGAGGATTGCTCTTGATGTTTGTAAAAGGGGCTAAAATGGGGAGGCGTCTGGGCAGCCATGAGTGGAACCAGGCTAGGCACACAAATGTCCAGATTCTCCCGTTTACTTGGAGCTAATATTCTATCTGTTGGAATGTGTGAGTTTGCAGTCATTGGATTCTTTCAAACTATCTTGCAAAGAGTAAAAATGGGGCATTCAAGGGACTGGGGGCATGGCTCAGCCGGTCAAAGTACCTGCCTTGTAAACCCGAGGACCTTATTAGATCCCCAGAATCCATATAAAGAAGCCAGAAGTGATAACCCACACCTACAGTCCTAAGTAATCTTAGCACTCCTGCAGCAAGACATGAGGCAGAGCTCATTGAATTGGCTGGAAGGCTGGAAGCTAGAGGACCAGCTTGCGTGGAGCATGCAGTGCGGTGGCAGAAAGCCTGCTTCAAAACGGAGTAGAATCAGGGAACAGAAGAGTTGTCCCCTGATCTCCACATGCATGGTGCCCTGCGCTCTCTCTCTCTCTCTCTCTCTGTCTCTGTCTCTGTCTCTCTCTCTCTCTCTCTCTCTCTCTCTCTCTCACACACACACACACACACACACACAATTTTCAGAAATGGATATTAGTTATCAGACTCCTAAAATGAAGGGTAGTGGTGGGTCATGAATCATACCGTAGCCTGGGAGAGCAAGCTTGTACATTGCATGTCCTCTTGTCTTCCAGGTCCATTGTTCACATACTATGCTGTGTCCTGATGCTTAGGAAAAGGAAGCTCACCAACAAGTTCTTGCCTGTCTTTGCCATTTTTATTTTATTTTATTTATTTATTTTCTGCCTCACTGCTTAATCGTTGGAGCTTAGAGAAACTTAGTGGCTTTCTGGACACTATTTTCACTCATTCTTCTTTGTGACTTACCTGAATAACATCCAGTGGTGCTCAAGGGAAGAAAAATCCCCCAATCTGTAGCATCTTTTGCGATACACTTACAGTCCTTTAAGTGTCTGTGTCTTGCAGGTTCAGAACTTCCTGAAGATGTGCTTTCCCAGTCTGAAGTCATGGCAAGCAGCAAGAAGATCGTAAGTTACCAGGGTTATCGATTGTGCTGGTTAATTTTTTTTGTCAACCTGATACAACCTAGAGTCATCTGGAAGAGGTAACACTATTTGAAGAATCGGTCTACAGGCCAGCAAGACTCCCCCAGCCAGTTCTTTGGTTAGTGATATGGGAGGGTCCAGCTTACTGTGTGTGGTATCACACCTGGGCGGGTAGTATTGGATTATACAAGAAAGCCTCTCTGGTCCCTGTTTCATTTCCTGCCTCTAGGTTTCTGCCTTGGTCTCCTTCGATAATGGACTGTCAGCTGTAGCCAGATAGACCCTTCCTTCCCCGAGTTGCTTCTTGTCAGTATTTTGTCATAGAGACAGAGACACAAACTAGGCATACTTTTAACGGGCTGGTCAGAACCCAAGCTGTACGCATCAGTATATTACCTTCAGTTATCCATCAGTTATAAAGCAGCTGAAAGGAGGAGGCAGGATTTGTTTATTCTGTAAAATTATCTAAGTGACACTAGCCAATCCCCCTTAGCTAGAGTCATCTGACTGATTGAGACTTATCTAACCAAGTGATTCCATAAACAGTGTTGTTTTTCCCTGGAAAGAAATTACATATTCCACTCCACCCCCACCCTCCACCCCCTGCAGCAGGTGGAAGATCTGACCCAGTCCCCCACCACCTGGCTCTAAAAATAATCATACATGTTTTGTGTATCCAGAAGCAAGCTGAGAGCAGTATGATGAAGCACTACTCTAACAGATACCTTGGTCTAGAGATGAGGTGGGATTGGGATCTTGGGAAATTGTCTCTGAGAAAACGATGTGTGTACTGAGGTCGAGCGTAAATAAATGAACAAATTAAGTTTACTGGGTTTGTACTGCCACAGAGAAATAATTATTGGCATTCTATCTTTTCAGTTGAGCATCTGCAGTTTTTTACTTAGACTAGCTGAATATTTGGACACACAATAAGTTCAATTACATTTTCCCGATACTCCAACCAGATTCCTCAAATCTAAAAATAAGAAAACAAAATGGTATCTCAAAAAAACTTTCCTGTTTTATTTTTATTCAGCTATCTACTCACCAAAAAAGCCTCACTACTCACTCCTTCTACTCATCCCCCACCCATCCACCTACTCATCCATCCATCCATCCATCCATCCACCCATGCATCCATCCATTCATTCACTCACCCACCCTTCCATCCATCTGTCCATCTATCTATTCACCCACCCACCCATCCACCCACCCTTCCATCCAAATGCACTTTGTCATGTGCCTGAATATGTCTGGTATCATGGTAGAAAATGAAGCACAACACTAATTACATCTTACACCAGACCTTTACACTATTCTGCTCATCTCTTGCCCATTCAGATATCATGCTTATAAATTTTCACATCTGTCTTCAACAAGCCAAACTCATATTTGGGTTCCTGGTACCTAATATGGTATCATGTAGTATTGAAGAAATTATTGTTAAATAGATTTGATGCGTTACCGTTGTTGACGGTCACAGCACTAAGTGCAGCTGAATGATCGCTGTTACTGCTTAAGCTATACTTGGCTGAACTTGTTTGGCGCAAACTGAGAGCGCCAGGTTGTAAAAGAAGCAGATGGCTTCTGGGGAGACCTTGGCCAACCGTCATCAGGACCCTTCTGCCCTGGCTCCTCCACAGCTCCGACACTTTTCTCTTCAGTGCTTCCTGTCCTGGAATCTCCCAGGCAGCTAAAGCAGCGACTACGCTTCCCTGATCCTTGGGAAGATTAATGGCGTGAGAAACGCAAAGGGCTCCTGTTCCTTGGTTACTGTGCCCTGTGAGCCCAGGTTTGCCAATTACTACAGCAGCCTGGGAGTTGGCACCTCTTCGTCACGCTGCACCACACTGTGTCCCTGGACTCCAGAAGACTATAATAAAAAAGAAAAATCAAGAGTAAGAGGAACTTAAACAGGTTTCTTAGTTTCAGAAATAATTCCTATACATTTCACGGTTGAGTTCCTATTTTTAAAAAAGAAGTGAATGAAGGGCACCACATCTCTCTGCCAGCTCGCAGCGCAGACTTGTGAGATTCAGCTAGAAAAGGGGCCAGCGTGTCTTCCACCACAAGTGTGGTGTAACCCAAATGGTTCCCATTTGCTTTTCATGTTGTCTCAGCCATCACAATAGCTTTATTGCATCTGTGTCCTTCCTCCTCCTTCTAACTGTTTTCCTGAAGATGTCCCGCAGTCGTCCATGGTGAAGTGAACTAACAGACTACCCATCAGTAATGCGAAGGTCTGGAAATCACCATCCAGTCTGACCAGAGAATCAAAACATTTGAGATGTGTCAGACCTTGCAGAGGTCCCTTGCTTCTTCTATCAATACTTCAGTTCTCCTTCATGCTGAGAGCAACCAAGTCACTTAAGGAAGTAGCTCTGATGTAAGAACAAAGCTGAAATGTCTCCAGACTACAAATCATCTTAGAACCAAACAAAATTGTTTTTATTTTTAAGAATCTTATTTCAGAGTTTTATTCCCTGTAGAATAGAGCCAACTTTTTTCTCTGGTGACTCAAGGAGATATTGTAAAATTTGCCCAAATCTTTTAGGAAGAAGTTTAGTCTCTGGGCCCCAAGCCATTTACACTTTTCTTTGATGCCACTATGCCAGCTCCTAAGGACGGTGCCTATTTATGTATGTATACATCATATGTATGTGTGTGCATTTGTATGTACATGTGAAGCTCTGCATCTTGAGTGTTTGTCATCTTGCTCTAGTTTTCTGATGATCGATTGAACCTGCTTGAGTTCAGTTACTTTTGTCCCCACACAGGTTAAATTGGGGATCTTTGCAACATATCTGCCAACTAAAAAGCTTTTTGAAAGATTAAAACAGAGATAAGAGTTAAAAGATTTTGAAGAGTTTTTTTTTTTAATTTAAACCACTGCTTGCCCTGTTAGCTCCAACTTCTTATTGGCTAGTTCTTAAATTTTAAATTAACCCATTTCTATTAATCTGTCTATTGTCATGTGGCTGTGACTTACTGGGTAAAGTTTAGTCCAGCATCTGTTTCCTGTAGGACTACCTGCCTGACTCCGCCTACTTTCTCCCAGCATTCAGTTTAGTTTTCCCACCTAGCTCTACTCTGCTCTATTATAGGCCAAAACAGTTTCTTTATTCATTAACCAATAAAAGCAACACATAGACAGGAAGACTTCCCACATCAATTCTTGGCTATATATTAAATTCAAGGATGGCCTATAAAAGATTCTGTTTTAAAAAAATTGATTATGGAGTTACAAAAAATTTTAGTGAGTAGCCAACTGTAAATGGAGACTCTGTGAATGAGAACAACTGTGTGCATAAATATACATGCACACACGTTTCAAAGGCAAATGGCAAAAATCAAAAGTTTTCTACACAAGATGTATTAATTAAGGATGTATTAATTATTACATTATACAAAAAACTTTTGTAAATTAAAAATACAACCATTGTAGTAGAAGTGAATATATTTTTCGAGTTCATCTTACATAAACAGAATTTGAAATTTTAGTTTTTAATCCTAAGGATGTAAGTTAGGGGCGTATGAAGCAATATGTCTTCACTGATATTTAAAGGAGGGAAATCTTATGTTTCTAAAGATCAAGCACGGGTTAAATAACTTATAATAGCCCCAAAGAATGAAATACTGTAGACATTTTAAATTATCTTAAATTGTGCTTTGATACAACGGTGCCTTCCCAAATTACAGCAGTATGTTAATGAAATAAATGTAACAATTTAGACTGGTGAGACGACTCAGCAGGTAAAGACACTTGCGACTAAGTTTGATGCTGACTTCCATCCCCAGGACTCACTGCGTGGAAGGTGAGAACTGACTCCACCCTTCTTTTTCCT